TAAATAAAGGGATATTATGATGTAATACAATGCAGACCCGAAGCCGGCTATGCTTTTCAAAAAATATGAAATATTGAGATGATGCAACCGACCCGAAGCAAGGCGAAACACACGTCCAACCTGCTCGAAAGCCCGCGCAAAACTTTGCGAGGAATGCGTACGATATTACACTAGTTTCAATCAGCGATTGACGGAGTCGAGATGGATCGCGAGTGTCAAGTATTCAGTACAAGAGATCGAGTTGTGCCCGATTATAAATGAGAAACGGTCAACTAATTTCAACGGACTACTAATTTCGATCGTTTCAGCTGTGACGAGACCAAGGTTCACTATCGTTACTTTATTTAGGAAGAATAACGCCGCAGCGATCTTTATTAAGATCGCCTGCAATAGATGACATAAAACTTCTACGTATACGTATACCGCTGCTCTTAATACAATATTTTTATTTGAATTTGTGCGAGATGCAAAACAATTGTTCTATGGTATGGCTCATACGCATTGAATCAACCTCGAGTAATAGTTGAAACGCGCGAGAGTTTCAAAGGTTGCTGATTCGAGGTCTCTGAATTTGCCTCGAGAGATGGAAGGAAGATCTCGCGCGCGCATTTCCACTGCGCGAGATGATTAGATTTTCTACAATATTATTTTCTATTAAATTTAAATAAAGTGTAAAATGTAAATAGAAAAAAAGAACGAAGAAATTTATCTGATGAAATAAAAGATTTATCTCATCGATCATCGGCCCTACTAATACCCACTCGCTACGGGAAAGACACACGTACACATTACTGGGGAAAATGATTTGACACGGTAGAACAGAAGATCCGTCCGTTACTGCCAAGTATGCGTCGTCCACAAATATCTACCGCGTAGCCAGACGATTTTCCGAGAAGACGGGAAGAACTACTTGGCGTTTTTGGTTTTCTTGGCACTCTCATCGGCGACACCTTGTCAGGCGTGATGTCTATGTTGCGCAACAGGAGTAACGAAATCTGTCCCGCAGCATTGCCCGTAAGTCTTTTCTCGGTCGAGTGTCGAGTCGATCGTCGATCCCGCACTTTCGTTCCAACTTGAAAAGACGACAAATGATAGACGTACCGTACAGACCAAACATGATTGTTTACTCCTACTACCATGGAAAGGAAAAAGAAAAGGGAGGATCTTTATCTTTTGACAAAATAGCTCTAACGCGATTGGTTTAGAGTCTACTCTGTAAGTATAATAACTCGATCTGTGAAGGGATCGAGCGGTCTCGTAACCCAAAGGTTCATAAAATTTCTACGACGAAGGAAGGTTCGACAAGGCAATTCGGACATTCGTCGAATTTCATATTGAAAAATGAATCAAGTCGAGTTCGGTTATTGATTAAATCGTACATTATATATACTAAAGGAAAATGAATTAGTTTGATTGCCGTTCTGTGCGATCGGCGATCTCCGATAAATGATCATTCCTCGTAAACTCGTAATATTCTCGAATGCAGACCACATTGTGAGTCTGTTGAGTTGCTCTCTTTTCGCATCTTTGTGCATCGCCACCATCTCCAAAAAGCTATGAGTCCTAGGCTCCTAGAGGACGCATGGTTGTATTATATCTATTGTAAAATCTCGAGAATGTTTTGCCTGCATGCTTCGGCCACGACGATAGATCTCGACGATGTACAAGTATGCAATAGAGATATGGTGCGCAAATGTCAAATTCGGATGGCATGGCAAACTGCGCCACGTGTCGCTACATGGCGCGCGGAAAGAATCGAGTGGTAATATATAATACATATGTATATATATGGATATAAAGTAGACGCGAGGAACACTGCAAGAATAAATGAATAAGTAAATAAATAAATAAATAAATAAACACTAGACTAGAAGCGCGATTAGTTAAATAAGATAAGTAGATGGACACGGGGACGGTCGAAGCGCGCGATCGCCGCGTAGGTCACGCGGGTCGCGTGGTAGCGGGTCGCGGGTCGCGTAGTAGACGGCGCGACGCCGTTTATTTTCGTTGTCGTCGTCGTCATCGTCGTGTGCACTGTGCACTAGTGTGCACGCGCGACGAACGGCTTCAGGCTTGCCTTTGAGACTTGAGAATTAGCGCGCGTCGCGTGCAGGTGTTGAACGCTTTCCGCCGCCGCGTCTCGCCTCGCCTCGCCTCGCCTCGCCGAATTTCTCTCACCGCGTTCGATACATTGTCCATCTATTGAATCGACGCGGCACAGCCGATCCATCCATGAGCGGCATGAATGATATATACTTATTGTTAGTCGAGTTATTCATGGTGGAATGTCACATTGCGAACGTTGCGCAATTTACAATTAGAGGACGAAAGGCTGCCGAGACAAAATCTAAATTCCTTTGGAACCTCCTTTCTTTTTTCGTTTATTGTGACAATGTCGATCGTTGTTGACGCACCTATTCTATAGCGCAACTCTATACGAGTACATCTTTCAACATAAACTAGAGTAGCAGCGCGAAACATTCAATTCTTTCTCCCATAGTGAAAATAATCCATAGTGAAAATAAAGGTTGAAGCACAAACCGAATGTAACGAAAGTATGGCAGAAGCATAAACTGTAGGAAATGAAAATTGGAAGGATATCGGATTTGAGTGATTAAGGGGCTGCGCGCACAATGAAAGGAATAAAGAATAGGGAACAGAGAATAAAAATTTCAATCATCAGAAATCACGTATTGTGGAATACATAGTTTCTGATAGGTTGAAATTTTTCTCTGTTCCCTGTTCCCTATTCCCTATTCTTTTCATTGTGCGCAGCCTCTGAGAGAGAGAGAGAGAGAGAGAGAGAGAGAGAGAGAGAGAGAGAGAGAGAGAAGCGGTTTCCTCTTAAAACGTTCCGATGACCCGGAAATTTTCGTTTGCTAAGATCAGCTGTTTCGTCGTTGCGCTTCTGTCATCCTCCTCTTATCGGATCGCCAGGATCGTCATTATATTTCTTTACCCACCAGAGACATACAGAGTATAAGATATTCTTTCATAATTAATTGCAAGATCACTATAGTACGATCACATGGTAAAAAAGCGAAAAATTAGATATTGCTAGCTAATTACTAACTTTGATGTTAGTCTCGCCTGATCGGTGCCGTTCAATCAACCGTGACGTTTTGTGATGGATGACTTATTATCAAGTCCAACTACTTATCTTCATTCGCGTGTACTGTATACTGTATAATAGTGTCGCTAAAAAGCGGGCAGAGGAATAATACGAACCGAGCCGCGAGCGGCGTTTTAAAAATGCCGAGCTTATTTAATGCGAGAAACAAACGAAAAGCATGAGACGACGAAAAGCTGTTTGAATCCACTAACTATCGTAACAAAATTTACGCGTATTTACCCAGCCAGAGTCGAAAACGCCGCGGCGCCTTTGCGACTAAAGAGCGATGCGGAGACCGGAGACGAAGACGATGACAACGTCGGCGTCGGCGTCGATGTTGGCGTCGGCGTCGGCAGCCAAGCGACAACCATTCTTAAAGACTGTCTCTCGACGAAGAAAACAGTAACGTTTTCTTGCTGCACAGACGCCAATCCTAAAGTTGTCGACGTGTGTCATTAGAATTCTCATCAGATTTTCTTTACGTTAATTTGTTTGCTCTTTTGTACGCGTGCCCACTGGAAATAATACCTATAATCTGTTCCGCGTCTCTCTCTCTCTCTCTCTCTCTCTCTCTCTCTCTCTCGTACTATTTTTGGATGTTATAGCATCTGAAGGACAGCGATTGCAAAGAAATCGCGGAAAGATATAACCTTCTTTAAATACAATTTTATCTTTTAATTTATTTCGCTAAATTGTGATCGCTAGTTGATCGCGTTGAAATAACATATAATTACAAATTATAAAAAATTAATTCTATTAGGTTACGTTCAGCAAATTGAATGTTATACATATATAGAGAATGAGTACATGGCCAAATAAATAGCTTTTATTTTTTAGTCGAAAGTGTAGGTGTTTCGTACGTGACAAGTTGCCGCGCGTCAACCTACGCGTATATGTTTTATATATATATGCATCATACATATATATACATATATATTGTAGATATAATATACATACATACACACACATATATATATGTACCTACGTTGTAATTAGTATAGATCGGTAGAAGGGACTAGGGACTGGGCTCTACTCGGAACGGAATGTCGCTCGTCCGTATGAAAGTTTTGTGCGTGCCGGTACGAGCAACGCGAGAAAACGAGATGCACGCGAGATGCCTATCGCGCGAGTTAGTCTAAATTCGTTACGATGAATCACAGCGTGCGAGTCGGAGCCACGGCATCGTAACGTGCGTACAAGGACGCGTCTAGACGCACAAATTGCCCGTGGCACGGCAGACAGTTGTCACTGTACCGACGCGACGCGACGCGACGCGACGCCGTCGACGCCACCGACGCCGCCGTCGCAAAGTACTCTCTTTTCAAGCATCGTCGTTTGTTCTTGTCGAATTACGGCCTCCTGTCTTGTCGAATTATGACGGCGAAACCTCGCCAGCGTTTGCGCCGATATCTGCACATGCAGTG